ATGATATACCCTATATTTTACTAAATTTACTATATTTTATATGTATTTTATTGCTTTTTTTACTAAAAGAGATAGTTTTCACGTATATGTAGGTTTTAGAGTCTTAACATATTAAAACATCAAAAATAATTCAAAAAGGATCAAAGGAGTGTTAACTATGCTATAACTTTACTTAAGTCACATTTGCGAATTTGCGACGCAGTTGTGTGGAACGATGCAAAATAGACGCAAAAGCCACACAATTTTTCGACTATTGTTTGTAGTCACAAAATTTTTTTCGCAGATGAGGTTGTTTTCTTGTAGTGATTGTGTCATGGATTAATTTTATGGTAAATACATGGGTTTCAAGCTTGTATGTCAAAACATGGATTATCCACAATAAAAGAAAACTTTTGGGAACATAGTTTTGATTTTGATTTGAAAAGAAAAAACAAATCAAGATTCATCTTTGACAAATATATTTTTTGCGTATTTGTGTATAAATTGTAGAATACGAAATGGTTAGGAAAAAAAAAGGAAAAATAATCAAATTAACCTAATTTAAAAGAACAAACAAAAAAAAGAGAACGACGAAGCCAAAACTTCAAGAAGAAAAACTTAAAAAGAATTGGAAACTATAAAAAAAAAATAAAAAATTAGCCACAAGTAGCAATCATAAAAGAATAAGACGAAAAGGAAAAAAGAAATATAGCACATTTTGTTTTTCCGATTTGTAAACAAATTCTAAAACAATAATATCATCATTTTATGGATCTTACGTCTTCTGTTCTTTTAAGCACAAATTGGGATATTCTAATTTAAACTAATGAAATATCTAATAAAATTACACTATATCATAGATTCTTTAAACCCGTTATATATATATGATTGATCTACATTAATAATGTATATATCAAAAACTCGCTTCATACCTCATCATTTAGTATTATAAGATCGATCATACCAAAAAGGTTCTTCATTAGTAATTTTTAAAATATTTTAACAACTTCTGAACACACAAAAAATCAAAACTCAAAATATTGTGTTATGAAAATCATTTAAATCCATTGCAGAGAATACCACTAAAGCGGTTTTGGTAGATGAAAAAGTTCGTATTACACATATTTATATTATTTCGTTCTATCAAGTAACAAATTTATATTTAATGTTATCTTGCATCAGACGAATATGCAGTTAATAAGAAGTTAGTCATCTAAATCTTGAACCAATGTTTTTCAAATCGGACTCGACACCAATTCGACATTGTTATTAGATGGCTGATCGGACACCAATTTTGATTTAAATTTTGTGAATTGGGTTTTGTCATGGAATCGGATCACTGGTTTTGGACGGTTTTACCGGTTTAACTCAAATCCGAATTTTGATTCAACCCGGACTCGATTAAGTAAACGATTTCCGATTAGAGTGGTCTGAACGATCGATTTGGTCCGGTTTTTGAAACACTGTATAGAACGTTTAATGCATTGGATTTGAATATTGATATGATATGTGAATAAAATAGTGATTAATTAAGACTTCATGAATCTAATAAGAGATCTTTTTTACTCTTGACATATATGGAATAAGAATACATGCACTTATCATGGGTTTTTGTAACATTGATCTTAGAAGAAGGTTATGTAATGGGGTTAGACCTATTGTTATTCAGTTCGAGCGTCATGCGGTTGAATGTAGAATCATAATAAAAAAAATTATTAGATTTTAAGATTTGCTTCCGTTTTATTTGAACTTTTTAAATAATCTTGTGTTCTTTTTTTTTATTATTATTATTTAACATATCATTGAGTTAGCAATATAAAACGTTTTTCATATGTTTAAACATGCTATAAAATTTTAGCTTTTTATAATTCATAATTTCTAATACCACAAATACTAAAGTTAAACATGTTTCGGAAAATGTTCATAACCGCACACGGTGCGGAAAAATTATCTAGTTATTACATAAAAGAAGTTTACTTGTGAATTATCACTGTTGCTTCTAAACAATGGAAAAACTGTGGTATGATTTGATAAGGAAGAAATGACCGAAGTTAGAAAAAGATGAAGGTGGTTATAAGACTCGTTAATATCAAAATAGGCAACAATCCGCATTCACTTTTTTTTTTAAATTGAGAGATTTGAATTTTTTTTTAATATAAAAAGGCCGGTTAATTTTTTTTTAAAAAAAGGCCGGAGGCGAAGGCCTCGTATTCTTCCATGTAGGCACGCCCTATATATACGTATAAAGATGGATATATATACATAATATAATGTATATACAATGAATAAAACATGAATATATTTTATATTTTTATATCTATTTAGAAATTATAAGCCTCAAATATTAAATGTAATAAATTCTTATGGAATAGAACATGTAATGTTAAATATACATATAATCTTAAAACAAATTAAAAGTCTTCTACAATATATAAAAAAATAAAAAATATATATATTTTCTAAACTTAATTTCAAAATGAATTTAACTAATAGATTGGATCTTTAGAGGTTAAAAATAAATATTGATTATGATAAACAACTTTATTTTACAATATAATTAAAAAATGTGATTTTTTGTTTAGTTTTTATATATTCGCCTAATATCCGTCTAGGTCGCGTAATCGTCCGCCTAGACCGCGTAATCGTCCGCCTAGACCGCATAAACATCCGCATTTTTAAGAAACGCATAAATCACCGAATAACCTAAAATCGGGGCGCCCGACATCCGGATAGCGCCTGGGCGCCGCCTAGGCCGCGTTTTAGAACACTGATACAACGACAACCAAACATCTGACCATACAACGACAACTATATAAACAATCTTAAATGGTTAAGTCCCAAAACTGCCAACACAAATGTTCTTACAAATTCATCTATGGTTAGACCTCAAGCTTGCTTCATCCGAGCACTTCTTCTTCTCTTAGGGACCTTGAGGCTTCCTTACATCACTAGAGTTTCTCGTGTTTGAAAAATGACTTTTTCACTGATTAGTGGCGTTTATATCGATCTCCTTTGTACTTCCAGAAAGGCTTCAATATGGATCATCGTCTCCTACAGAAACACAAAGTACATCTCTAGGAATAGAAAACGCCATGGAGATAGGATTTAAGGTCAAGGATCGAACATATTCTCGTTGTTATTTAGTCCACAACCACCCTAAAAGCTTCTTTTGCGATTTATTCTTCAGAAATAATTTGCTTATCCCAATTTACGAGATGTTAAAAGATGAATTTAAGCTAACGATTTCGACTTTCGTTTGTTCTTTAATATTTGATGATTTCGATTGCGAAGAAACGATGGAAAGAGATAAAAATAAAGATTAAAAAAGCGAAATAGAACATCTTATTGCTTCAATAACAGCTACAAAATCCATTTTTTTTGTGATAAGTTAGCAGTCTATATCTTTTTTTCTAACTATATTTCATTTTCCTTCTCTTGCCTAACAAATTTTTGTTTTTCTCGCTTCAGAAAAAATTGTCTATAAACTTTTTGCATAGTAGAAAAGATATCTAAACAGTAGAAACTATCTTATTCTAGTAAATAACTTTTTAAAAATATATATTTATGTGAAAAACCCAATGGGCGATGACCCAACGCCTAATGGGAGCCTAGGCGATTCAATATGGGATCTAAGCGTCTTACAAAA